CCGCGCGCGAGGCCCTGGAGACGCTCGCGGCCGCCGCGGGCCGCCGCGGCGACGGCCGGCGCCGCGCGGTCTTCGCGGTCTTCGCGGCGTGCCTCGAGCGCGCGCCCGCGGCGCTCGAGGCCTGCCTCGGGAAGTGCGTCGCGCCGCTGCACCGGGCCATCGACGAGGAGCGGGAGCGCGACGCGGCCGCGCGCGACTGGGGCAAGAAGCGGACCGAGGACCGCGACACCGCGACGGCCGCGCTGGCCCAGGACGTGCTCCAGCGCTTCGAGGACGCGTTCGGCGCCGAGACCGTGGCGCGCGCCGTCGGGGCCGTCGTGTCGGAGCTGCGGCGGAAGCGCGACGAGCGCAAGGCCGCGAAGAAGAAGATGGCGGTCACGGATCCCGCGGGCTTTTCGAAGCGGAAGCTGGCGCGGGGGGAGGAGAAGAAGGCGGGGCGGAAGCGGAAGGCGGCGGGGGTGTAAAGCTAGAATTGTAGTCCCTTCTTGTACTTGAGGCGTTTCTTCTCCTTCTTCGCGGCCGCCGCCTCTTCCCGGGCCGATATCTCCGCCGCGGCGCAGAGGAGATCGTCGTCCGCGAGGGCGACAGCCGGTATGTTTCGAGCCCTTCTAATCTAAATTTAGTCTAATTTTCAGAAAAGTGTCGCCAGAGCGATTTCATGTACCAAAGCCATCGGCGGCAGTCTCATCAAGCAGTTCCGTCGAATCGCAGCAGCGCGATTTGGGTAATGGGTTCGGATCTTGGGAGCATGGTCTAGTGGTATGCCTGGATCGCCTACATGGCGGGACAGTGCTCGATTCGCGCTTCGGGTGCGCGAGGTCACGGGTTCGATTCCCGTTGTTCCCCTCTTTTTTTTGCCCCTGCGTACACGTCCATCACCCGGGGACGACGCTCGTGGTTTTTTTTTGGTTTTTGGCGCCGGGCGACGACGCGGGGGCGATTTTGCTCGGTCGATCGGAGATGGGCGTCCTCCAGGACCTCTCTCACGCCGTGGAGCCGGCATGCGCAGCCCGTGCGCCACGAAAAGCTGGCCACAACACCCTCATGATGTCCTGCGACGCACCGCGCCAGCCGACGGCGTCATCTGAGCGCTTCAGTCGCGCGTCGCCCACGATTTGGAGCACGGGAGGGCGCGCGGACGTGCGTTTGGCGCTGAAAGTCCACGAAGTTCGCCGAGACGTTCACAGAGCCTACACCAGATGCAGACCAACGCCTGGGCCGGCGCGGGCTCGTCCCCGACGCCGGGATCTTTCGTCTCGCGGCGCGTCGGCTCGGGAAAACGCCGTCGTTTCCGCGGCGCCCGCGCCGAAGCGCCCGAGGTGCGCGGCGGGCGTGGACTGCTTCGAGAAGCCGCGCCCGAACGGGTGCGGGCTCGTCCCCGACGCCGGGATCTGCTCGTTCTCGAGTCCGAGAAGCGCGTCCGAGCTCATCAAGGCCGCGGCCGCGCGCGCCAAGGCGGACCCGGACGCGCCCGAGGGTTTGCCCGTGGACATGGCGCGGAGGACGCACAAGGGCGCCAAGGGCGTCGCGGGCGCGCTCGCGCGCGCGCAGCTCGCGACGGCGTCGTTGGGCAACTTCGACGCGATGCGACGACGCTCGAGACGGGCATCTGCTGCGCCCAGTGGTCCACGGACGGCGACGCGCCCGAGGGCGTCCCCAGTGGTCCACGGACGGCGACGCGCCCAGGGGCGTCCCCAGTGGTCCACGGACGGCGACGCGCCCGAGGGCGTCCCCAGTGGTCCACGGACGGCGACGCGCCCGAGGGCGTCCAGGGCATCGTACGAGGACGTCCGGGCTCCACGAGAAGTCGGACCGCGACCAGCGCGCGCTGCTGCGGAAGTGACGCTCTCGACGAACGAGTGGAGGAGCGATTCGAGGAGCGCGTCGAGGCCTTGCTGGGGTTCGACTCGCCGGGTGTCGGCTGGCGGAGCTTGTGCGATGCAAAATGGACGACGCGCCGATGAGGCATCTTCTGGACGACCGAACGATCTTCGCCGCTGCGACGTGTGACTCGCGACGCATCCAAAACAACATACGCACACTTCCCACACACACGTCCTTTTTTTGCTCTAGACGTCCAGAATAATAATATACAACATCCAACCCCACACCCTATATTACAAAGCCCGCCGCCGCGGCCCTTCGCGCTTCTTCTCGCGCTTCGCCGCGAGCAGCTTCGAAATCGCAACAACCTGGGTCTGCTCGCGGCCCGGCGACGCGAGGAGCGCCTTCAGCGTGCCGCCGGACAGCTCANAGTCCGCGGACGCCGCGGCGTCGCGGCGCGGTCGCTCGAACTCGTCGCGGACGC